GTCGAAAAAGTAAAACATTGACACGGACGACGACGACGGACAATCACTCATATGATAAGCTCCGCTCGACAAAGTCAACAGCGGAGCTAAAAATTGAGAAGAGGTGCACCAGTACCCACAAATAACAGTAATTTTTTGAACACCAGTAGTTTACATAATGACTCTTTGTTCGGGGAAGTTTGGATAGGATGATGGTCTTAAAATATTTAGAAAAAAAAATGGTTTTAACTTTTATATATATATAAATCTACATATAATTTTACAGAAATTTTTAATTCAGAATGTTAGACAAAAAAAAGATTTGTCTTTGGTCAGTGCTGGCATCAGTTAATAAGAGGTACTTACAACTATTTTTGACAGTTCTGCCTAAATACTGTTAAAATGAAAAAAACAAGCACTTTTTTAACATCTCAAAACCTGAAATAAATCTTTTAACATGTGTCTATCAATCTGTTAATCATAAGTAATGATGTAATCTTATAATTCCTAGAATTTGATAGTTTGCACATTTTCTGATTTCTTTGATAATTTTGAACTGTAATTTCCCATTTTCCATAAATTTTGATTAAAATTATTGCAAAAAAATAAGAAAAAGGTAGAATTTATCTTAAAAAAGGCAACAAAAAATAGATCTAGAGCTATATTTTTTCAATTTATACATGCAACTTACTTTGTCACTTTATACATCTTTTTAGAGAACCATCTTTCTTTCTCACTCATCTGACCATCTAATTTCCAATCAACTTTGCTTTTGTGTGTGACCTCTGAACTATCACCTTTGCCCTCACGAGATGGCAGTCCTCTTGAATCCAAACTATTCTGTATTTGTTGTCTACCAGTTTTCAAAAGTTCAAGTTTCTTTTCTCTCCGACTGTTTCCCTCCTCTTTCCTCTCCTCCTGAAATCGAGATATTTGAGAACTGCTCAATTTCCCGCTTTGCAGATTGTCAACTTCCAACTTTTTTCTATTTAGTGCGTTCAATGGGGAATATCTTTCGATTGGACTAGCTTTTTTCGGACTGGTTGGTGAACCTTTGACATCTTTTTTCAACCTGTAAGTCGAAGGACTCATTTCAGGAAAGAATAACTGTTTATCTTCACTATCTAATCTAAGTGAAGATGGTTTATTGGTTGTCAACCTAAGTTTATCAGGTATTTTCCTCTTTGTTCCCATGGCAACAACAGGTACATCTCTCCCAACAAACCATTCTTCAGAATGTCCAGTAGTTCTTGCATCTGTCATATCACCAGAGTCTCTGTCGCTTGTATCCAGAGATATTTGCTCTGTTGAAACCTTTGGAGTGAATTTCACTCGTGGATTTTGATGCTTTTGATGGAAAAACTCAGCTCTCTGATCACTTGCAGATGATGTTACCTTATTACTCCTGGCATACACCTCATTATCATTCTTTTTCCTTGTTGGCATAGGAGAACTAGACGACGAGTCAGTTCCAGAATCAAAGCTTAAAGGTTGTAAGATCTTCAGCATATTAGTTCCAGACATTGACCTTTTCCGCACTCTTTCTGGTTTGTCCTTAATGTTCTGAAACATCTCCACTTGCTCGCTGACATTTTTACAAGCATGAACTACATGTGCTGGGGTTACAGTAACACTCTGGTTTGCAGACTCCAGACATGTAGGCATGCCCTTTTTCTCAACTAGTGCTCCTGTAGAAAATGCTTGGCTGAGCTTTTTCACCTTGCTAGGGTTTAAATCATCAATTTTATCAACTTTACCTCCAATGGTAGGATCTATCGAGGACTCTAACACACTGGGGGAACTACTATACTGCATGTCAGAGAACTTCTTTTGAATATCCTTGAAACTAGTCAAGTTGTTGAGTTCATTTAATTTTAGCTTGAACTGTGGCGGAAGTTTTTTCGTTTTCTCATTCCCATTTCCCCCTGACCTTGGCCTTTCTGATCTGAACTTCTCACGACTCTTTGAACCCAGCGATGAACTTCGTGGTCTCAGTTCCAGTGTTATTTTCAAGGATCTGCTGCATTGCTGTTCAAGGCATGGTGAAATGTTTTCCTTTTGTTTCACATGTAAGGTTGAATCTGAAGTTGTCAGTGTAGAATTATTGATGTGCTCTTTTGTAATAACACTTCCAGTCGATGAATTCATATCAAGATGCTGGCAAATAGGACTTTTGGCGAGTCTCACCCGTTCAATTGTTGGTGATAACGGAGCCAAAGTTTTCGTGGATGATACAGAAAGGTAAGATCCATTTGAAGGAGAGGTTATCTCTTTCAAACTGGGAGATCTGAAATTTCGAGTATCTCTAGGTACTGAGCGAGATCGCTGATTTCTTGAAGTAATTTCTTTTCTTTCATTTTCAGCTTGGGAATGTTTCTCATGTACTTTCCTACTTCTATTTTCTCGTGTTACTGATCTGGCTCTTGGATATCTAATGTCGCCTGACTCCCTGTCGTCTTTGCTTGGTCTTGACCTGGCAGTCCTGGAAATGATATTCTCAATTCTTCTCTGCACCTGACTCTGCATTTTAGTGTCTAAACACTCGTTTGCAGGTGTATGTTCAATTGCTGAAGGCACTGAATCAACATATGGACACGCTTCAGCAGACTTTGTTTCCTGAGTTTCCTTTTTTAATCTTACAGGTATGGGAGCAAAAAGACCGGGATACGGAGACATGCACTCAGCAGACAAAGCCTGTACCATTGCGTGATCAGTCAAAAGTTCTTTTTGAACATCATCCATACTAACAGACGACTTCTCCAAGTTAGACATGCTTTTATCATTTAAGTCTGAAGTCCTGTTCTTATCAATACCACAATCAAGAGACTGACTCTTTAGTGCATTCCTGTTCCTCACAGCTGACGACACTTCAAGTACAACAGAGGTTTTACTTTTAATGATTTGGTCATCTCTTGATGCAGTCTTGCTGGTATCCGATTGGTCACTTTTGGACGGCCAAGGTCTGGTGTCATCATCGGAGCTAGACGTTGAAACAACAGAATGTTTATGTGAACTACAGCAAAGCAGGCTGGGAGTTTTCCGGTATTCAACTATTTTAAATGGTTTTGTGACAGCAGTAAAAGGAGATGAAACGCAAGATGAAAGGTCCTCCTGAAATTATAGAATAAATTTGTTATGTTAACAATGTTTGGAAACTTTTCAGATAACACCTACCATAATTCCTCTCTCAGCTGAATCTCCTGATTTTTGTTCAAACAATATTTGGTTCTTAACCTTAAATTTCCATTTGGCATGAAATGAACATATTCTGATGCTATGAATCTACTTTTTTTTTCAAACTAGTTACATCTTTCTGCATTTTGTTTCTATATTTCAAACTTTTTACATTTGGGATTATCTCTATGGACATCTTTAATTACCGTACACTATAATTAATCCACCAAAATAAATTTTTCATTTCTGTTTCCATCTCCAAAAATAATCATGGTCCAATCACTGAAAGGATTACAGAACAATGTGTGATGACTGAAAATGAAAGTACAGTACCAAGAGGCTAATTTGCATATTTAGATGACACCTCATCTAATTTACATATTTAGTAGGCATGACAACCACAATTACATATTTAGTAGGCATGCATGTTTAAATAACATAACAAACATGCAAGTGACTGTTGAAGACTTAACAAGCATGCAAGTGACTGTTGAAGACTTAACAAGCATGCAAGTGACTGTTGAAAACTAATGATGATGATGCACTAAATCCTGTTCAACTACTCTGCTCATGCTCAATGTTTTAAGTCAAATGATTACATAGCAATATGTTTTTACTGGTTTTATTGTTCTAACAATGCCTGTTTACTAGAAAAAGACTGTTTCTTTGTTGGAAACAGTACGTATTTACTAGTAAGAAAATTGTTTTTCAGATTTATTGTCTAGTGACCAAGTGGAGAGTACAACAACAACAACAACAAATAGGTCATGTGTTTGAGGAACAACACTCAGGATTGAAAACAATGATTTTCATATCGATGAGCTGAGTGGATGCATGGTCACCCTAGTGAATGAGCTAATCAGGTGTTTTGTGATGGAATGCAACATGTGGTCCAACATGACACGTACATGTATAAGACGTGACTTCTACATAGACTTCATTGTACTTCTATACTATAGATATGGGACTACAGAATAAACACTTGAAACTTGCGATATATCTTCATCATCAGGCCCCTACACTCATATGTTAACATGAATCAGTGCTTATTTGGAGCCTCCATCAAGTACAAGTCCTCGGCCCGTACTCAATGGTAGGATAACTACTGGAAATCGACACAGACTACAAACAAATGTTCCCGAAATCTCCAGCTTAGCTTTTATATGCCCCAGTGTCCATGGAAGAAGAGCGCCCTCAACATGTGAAATGAAACAAACCTCTGTTGATTTTGTTGCTGGATTTTCCTCATCACCATCTTCTTCTATCACTAAAGGTTCAAGATTCTCCTCCTCCTCCTCCACCTCCTTCTCATTAATCTCCAATCTTTCACTTTCATCAACCACACCTCGATGACTATCAAGTTTGCCAAGTATATCTTTTTTAGGCAATGACAATGACAGTTTTAATTGGGGATCACATTCCCTCTGTATCACTTCATCCAAACACTGTTTAGATTCTCCGGCAGATGTTTTTGTATCTCTGCTTTCAGCCCACTGTTTGCGTTTTTCTTTGACTTTGTTTTGCATTATTTGTTTTTTTACATCCTGTACATTGTGTACCTCAGTATTTATTTGGACATCTTTTAGATCTGGAATGTAATGAAACATGAGAAATGATTAATATCAAGTACTAGCAATTTTCCATCTTTTTTAATCTCTATGGTAAAAAATTACCTCCAAAGGTCATTCGTGTGCCAAAATTCGCTGCACCCACAAGCGGATAAAAAACATCTTTGCTGAAACAAAACATTTCCCAAAACTACGTTTACTATATTTCCTAATTTAAATCTTACCTGTGAATTTGGAGCTTAGTGGGTGGACAACCATACTTGGAATGGCAGTGAGGCTGGTCTTTTTACAAGTGGATACCTTCCCTCCTAAACTAGACGTCAAATGGAAGATTTCCTCAGTGTCCTGATTGTTACAGGGTTTGGAAAATTTGATGGTAAATTTGGAAGAATGTGGTCGTCTTGGTGATTGACCTTCACACTCCATCTGAAAAAAATATGAATAAGAATTTTTCTAATTAATTCTAAAATAATAAGACCCCTGGTATTAAACTTTATTTCAAATCGATAAACTGTTTAACATTCAAGGTTAATCTACCACAGAATTGACATAATTCATATTTTGAATTGTATTGTAATGGAGTATACCTGGTATATGTTTCTGCTACTTCTTACTTTGACAAATAGCATTAGAAATAACTGGGCTATTAACCATGTTGAACAGCATAGGGAAACAACTCATAATCGGACAAAGAATTACATATTAAATTTGTTGGCACAGTGGCTTTAATCACTATCAAATATCTCACATAATACATTATAGTCCC